TAAAAATGTCTCTTAATAATACAACAATCTGCTAAATTAATTATTACTTAAGAATATAAAAACAATAAAGGTTTATTTTTTTTGCTATTTTTCCCCTCATTACACTTAAAGGTAACATTATGAAGGTCAAACTGGGTCATTTAAAACTGATTATTCATAAATTAAACATAACAATACTAAACATATTATCCCTAAAGAAGTATTTGTTCTATAGTTAAACAGTATTTTGTGCCATAATGACACTGAATGCAACAATTTGACAACATTTGTATCACTGTCCCCTTATTATTTCCACTTATTATGTCACTGATTCAGTCGTATTGGTAACCTCCAATTGTTTTAGTCATACAATGATCGTTTAAGCTTCCATAAGCAGAGCGTCTCATGCAGTCTGACACCTGGAACACCACACTGTTCATATTTGATAAACCTCCTCAGATAGGAAGCAAAATATCTTCAACTACAAAACAAGTCCAGTTTCTTTTTCTTTCTTTTTTCAATTATTTGCCTAATCCTGAACAGAAAAATCAACAGTTTTACAAAGAAGCCAAGTGCTGAGTGTGAGTTATCACAACTTGATGCAGTGAGTAGCTTCATTTTCTTTAAACGAGCTTGTCGGATGGAAGAGATGTGTTTCAGAAGGGTCGTCTGATGTTCTGGTGCATGACGCAAGTTTGCTGAAACTGACAAAACTAGGTTAACAACTGCTCTGCTCATTACAAAAACCTGGAAGGACTGTGGTGAACCCTCAGCTACAAGGTGGAAATGTGGTTGAAAACAGTCTTCACTGATTATGATCTGAAGATTTAAAAAATGAGTAGTTTGGCAGGGAAAGTAAGAGCATGGTAATGCTAAAAGAACTAAATATGATGTGTGTCACACTCGCCTTTGAAAAAAAATAATTAAAACTTAAAATGTCTAGTTTGCATAAAGACTGAATCTTGAAGCAGTAAAAGAATAATAATTTGGTTTAATAAGTCAACATTTATCCTGTTTCAGAGAGAGAAATATCAGAACACTAGGAAAGGATACAGTGATGTATCACATCTTGGTACCTGTTTTGTAAGACTGTGGGGCAGCGTTCTAATTTGAAGTTGCTTCAGTTGTCAAGTAAAAGAAAAAAAAAATCTATATGTTCCACAAAATTAGCTCAACTGATTACCTGAATTCCTAAAACCAGTTTATGATTCCAGGAAGTGGCTTGCCTCCAGCCCTGTCCTCACCTGTCACACGGCTTATACAACACCCAAACTTGACTGCTCTCTGCAGGTGATAGACCCACATGGAGGTGGTGTCCCTGTAGTTTTTTTCAGGCTTGGCCCAAGCAAGTCCCAGGAACAACCAGCTGCTCACCAGCGAGCTCTCTCCCCCAGACCTGGCTTCATGAAAGTGCTTCAATTCCCCTATTTCAGGCAAGGTGTCCCGTTTTAGGGGGTTCTCTTTAGTCAATGAGAACCAGGAGCAGAGAAGTTCAAGTATCTGGAAAACGTGTGCATAAGCTATGGCAGGAAGGTGCGAAGGATGAATCGATGGATCCCATCCACAGTAATGAGGCTGTTGCTCCGGTTTGCCATAGTGAAGAATGAGGTGAGCATTGTCCATGTTCCAAACCTTACCTATGCTCATGAGATACGAGTTATGGCCTATACAACAGGATTCCTATAGGTGGCTAACGTTAGGTTCCTTAGTAAGGTAGCCAGGATCAGCTTCAGAGTACCGTATGCCGTTGGGAGTGGGATGGAGTAGACCTGCTGCTCTTCCACAACTAAAAAAAAAGTCAGCTGAGGTTGATCAGACATCTGTTTGAGGAGACCTTAGGGCAGATTATGGATCCTCTCTGGCCTACAAATGCCTTAGGATCCCCCAGGAAGAGCTGAAGAGTGTTGCTAAATTCTCTGAAGTGATTAGGAAAGCATGAAACAAGCTTTATTTGTGAATCAGACAAACCAAAAAAAGTTTACACCCAACGTATCAACAAAGTTACAGTAATAAGTAACTTAAAATAAGCCAATAAAAACTACCTTATATAAATTAATTTATGATAAACTTTAAGTTTTTGACCAAATGATTGTGCTGACAGAAATAAGGCTATTTGTGATTAATAATAATAAAAATAATGATAATTTTACTACTTTTTTCAATAACTGATAAGTGACTTCTTACAAGTACTTGTTGACAGATAATATGTTTGATGTGCTAAAAGATTGTTGCTGTGCTAAACATAGACCTTTTTTAACTATGCTATCTATGTTAGCTATGTTTAAAGGTAAGCATTAATGGAAAGAGAAAAACGTCCTAGAGGTGTGCCTTTTAACAAAGGCCTGGAAAATTTATGTTTTTTGTACGTGAAGCACTTTGACTGTTTTAACCTGCACAAAATGGCTGCCTAGAAACTAAATGTTTCTCACACATGGTCTACACTTTATTCCAATGTTTTAAGTTTGCTGAAAAAGCTGCAACAACCCAAAATCAAACCAAGATCTTGAAAATCAAAAAGGTAACTCTGAACAAAAATAAATGATGTGGTTAAGCTTACTGAAACAAAACCAATGAACCCTGTAATAAAAAATAAACGGTGTCAAAAACATAGTAAAGTAATAAGAAAAGTGTGGCCATGCAGCATTATTTTAGAAAACTGGACATATGTCTTTTATTAGATTTGGTTTGTTGATGTTGAATATCAGGACATGAAAAAAAAAAAAATCACAGAGTTTATGCTGTCAGACAGTATTTTTTAAATTGTACATGTTTATTTGCATCACAGTTCAAATCCTAAATAATCACTGTTTCATAATGATAATAAATGTAATATTTAGGCTGGCATAATTTCAGCATTGCTGAAATAAAACCATCTGTGTTTCTAATATTTCAAGACAGAAAATGTAAAAACAAACATTGTTGCTCACTGCTTTGTTTTGTTGTGGCAACAGGAACCTGGCAAGGCTCCTAACCCTAAGACTGGCAGGTAGTTTTTCTTTATTTTTGCTAATTTACACTATAGTTTTGCTTTGAAAGAATGAATAACCTGTCAAGTAAAAGCATAACATATTTTACCACTTCATCTAGTTTAGTCTCACACTGTGATAAAACTCCTTTGGTACTCCTTTTCATGCTGATGCATTTCGCATATTTTATTGTGGTCAAATGATTTGTAAATGCACCAGAACACATGAAGCTTGCAAATGTAGCCTTAAAGGCAGTGAAAACTGAAATGGAGGTTGATCAAAGGGTGTCATTTTACAGAAAAGTTGAAAAAAAAAGCCAAGAGAACTAAGGGAACATCAGTAGACTGGTTTGAGTAATTGCAACCACAAGAGTGAGTAAAAGGTGCAGGGAGGGTGGGGACTGTAGGCAGAGAGAGTTGGGATAAAAGGAAGCAAATGGCACGCCGGAGGCAACAACAGCAGCTGGCAGTGACTGATATACCAGTCAACTGTGGAGTGCACGCTTACACACTCTTTAACTGCAGGTCCAAAGCTGCCCCTTTGGGTGTGCATGGTGGCAAAGGCTGTGGCACTGGCCCCTGAGGTGGGCCCTCTTGCCACTAAGGAGAGCCCATGCCGTGCAGTGTGCCAGGGCCTGCTGATCAGGGCGAGGTGAGTCAGAACCTGTTAGCATGACTGGTGTCCTCAGTCTAGACACACTGGGCTTGTCTGACATGGCCATGTGCACACGAATGTTAAACAAATGTGTGTTATGTGTGAGTGTGTGTGTTTGAAAGCTCGCTTCCTCTTGTCCCTCCCAACCCTGCCAGCACTCCCTTTCCTCTCATCCAGATAAAATCCTTTCAGACACAAATTTCAATTATTCACCTCATCCAAATAATGCCATGTGACAAGAATTATCCCTACTGTAATAATCCACTTAACTGGGAAAGAGCAGCTCATCAAAAAGAGAAAAGGGGCTGGAAGTGAGGGTGGTGGTGGGACTTGTCAACCAGTTTCGAATCAGGACCTTTGTAATAAGAATTTCTTCCCTTTTTGAGGAGGCAGTCTTCAAGTGCACTGGGATGATGAAATTGAAGTAAATTGAAAGAAAGCCTGGGAGAATGCTCCCACAATCAATAAACCCAGGATTAAATTAGCCTTGGCATGAAGGGATGATGGGAGAAAGATGAAGAGTGAATGGTGGAGAATGACATTGAGACATGCAGGCTGATGCTGTACCCATACAAGGACAGTGAATGTACGCGAGATGCTTTCCATCTCATTTAGCAACAAAAAAAAGTCCTTATAAACACCTCCTTTAACCATTATTACAAAAACAACTAAGGCTTATTGCTGTTAGATGCCATCTTTTGTCATTCTTTACTACTTGAAGTGCTTATACAAGGCATAGAAAACAAAAAATTAACAACCTCTCGCCAAAAAAAATGACTTGCTTCTCTGTAAACAAAGACACTTGTGTTTTATTATTGTCAAACCATTTTTTATGCTATATGATTAAAGCTAATGTTGCTGTTAAAATAGACTTTTAAAAAGAAAGTGTCCTCTCATTAAGCTCAGAGACGTCAATGTGATGCTGAAGTGACTCTACTAATTAGAAGTCTTTTACAATAGTGTAGCCTAGGGAAATTTGTAATTTCATCAAATTATGTAAATAAGTGCCAAAGCTTAAGAAAAGAACCATTTAATTTTGTGTTGCCAAAAGTTGGAGACAGTCATTCTTACAAAAAAATACCACAGACACTGATTTTTTGCTTAAGCAGCAATCATAGCAAAAAATAAACAATTAAAAAATGGCCAGTGAAAATACTGGTTTGGGTTAAAAAAATAAAAATTTAGACGCTGAAGATTTAGTACTGATTTGTTAGTATTAATATTTGAATCACTTAAAATTATGTACAGAATCTAGACATTGTTTTGCTTTGAAAATATAAAAAGTAATTTATTTAGTTCAACTATCAGTTTGGAATTGCTTACATTAACTGATCACACTTGTGTTTTGTTGTCTCCAGGCTGTCTTATCAATCATATCATTTGCATTAACCTGACTCTTACCAGCGCTTCTCTGGGACGAGCTGCTTCGACATCTCCAGGCGGAAGGCCAGGCTGCAAAAACAAATACAGTAGGATTATGGAGCCATCTACTGGGGTACAGAGGCAGTTGTATTTTACAACTTATTTCTGTCAATGATACAAACATGCATAGAAAAAAGATCCTCCTGTAACTTCACTGTCATAAGGAATCCTAACTGGATTTTATGAAGCATTAAAAATCGAGTTACAAAAATAGGAACATATAATTAAAATCAAACCATTTGGGTTTCAATCAATCAGTCTCGTCTTCCAGTACCATAGTTACGGGTAAGCGTTGCAATTAGAACTGACATTTTGTTAATACATAGTTGTACATGGCAGCACTGTGGTACAGTTGGAAGAGCTGCCGTCTCTCAGTGAGCAGGTTGCCCTGATTCAAATCCCGTCTGTGGATCTTTCTGGGTGGAGTTTGCATGTTCTCTCCGTGCATGTGTGGGTTTTCTCCGGGTACTCCGGTTTCCTCCCACAGACCAAAAACATGCATGTTAGGCTGGCTGGTAACTCTAAATTGGCTCTAGGTGTGAGTGAGAGAGTGGATGGTTGTTTGTCTCATTTATCTCTATGTGTCCCTGTGATGGACTGGAGACCTGTCCACCGTGTACCCCGCCTCAGGCACAGTGATGGCTGGACATGGGCACCAGTGACCCCCGCGTCCCGAAAAGAAAGAAGCGGGTAAATATAATGGATGGATGGATGTACATCCATCCATCCATCCATCCATCCATACTCCTACCTATCTAGACAGTGAAATATATATTTTTATTTTAGCTGTTTAAAGAACAAACTATCAAAGTTTAAAGTGCAGACACCTTTGATGAGTTACATAAAATGTGGGGGAATAATATAAGAAGCAGCTTTTTAATAACATTGTGTCTTTATCTGGGGTTGGATTTTTTTTTAAAGAGCACAGTAAACAATTTGTTATGAAAAAATACATTTGCCAAAAAAATAGGTTAAAAGCCATTTCTCTGTGTGGGCAATAAGCAAACAAGCTACACCCCCTGACATATGGATAACGATAGAAAACAAACAGAAGAAATGATAAAAACAAGCACAATCTCATCTTTATTTTTTTAACTCTGGGATAATGACACAAGAAAATATAAAGCAAGTAATTATATTAGTGATAAAGTCTTCAAATTGCTTTATTTTTTTCATATGAAGTGTATGACAGACATGACATCACAACACTTCTGTCTGTCCATTTAATTTAATTTCTGCTTTATTAGGTTGATTAAGTCAGGATACATTCCACACCTTTAACAATTAGTCTTATTAACATTCAATTTCAAACTCACAATAACAGTCCTATAGTTGTTGCAGCAAAGTCATACTCTTATGAGATACTCAAGTCAATTTTTTATCTTGTCTTGGATGCTAGTCAGCCATTTAGGAAAACAATGCACGTTTAGCCTCGGTTCCAGTGACCTTACCACTTATCAACATGCAGCTATAACCACACAAATGCTACGCTACAAGATGGTTACATATAAAACTTGGCAACATCTGGTCAAAGTAAACCGTTAGACTAACAAACAAGCCAATATAATTGTCAAAACGTACGTGTAGAAATTATAGTAATTTGTGTCCACTTCCTAACACCTTTGAGAGGTAACTTTTAAAACACAACGTAGTTAGCATGCTAACTAGCGAGCGTCTACTAGGCTACCATTCAATTAGCTGAGAAAGTAACCACTCTAAATGAACGCCAGCTCAAAGCTATAGATTACAGGAATGCATTCAAGTGGCTCACAATTAAATTTGGACACCAAACTGTAAATGTATGAGGCATAGATAGAGAGACCTGTGTTGGTGAATCAAGTTGCTCGGTGGATGCCATCTTTCTGTCACTCGATAGTTCGACTGAACGGCGCTCGACTGGTTTTCCTAAAACTGTCAACTTCTAAATATTTGTTTAAAATTCACACATAACTTCAATATCAGTTTTTTTTTCTTGGCGCGATACTCAAACGAACCAAAAGCGGAATTAAACTGGCAATACAATTAGACCTTTATTTTAGGCGCTTTTAAGTGTAGATGTTACTGATCATGATTTCCAGTTTTACGCCTGTAACACAAAAACTACATATCCCGAGGTCCATAGCGCTACTTCGGCGGTTCCGTGTTCTAAAGCGATAGCTAAAGAGTTTAGCGCTGTTGTTTCTCTATGTTATAGTAAAAAAACTAAATAAAGCTAGTGTTTTTTTTTTAGCTAAAGGCCTATAATGACTGATGGAAAAGCTTGTAAAGTGTGTAATTTCACACGACAGACATCTTACGGTGTGGTTGCTCCTTCGCTGGATGAGCTGAAGAGAAAAGGTGAGGCTACACACTTGGTTCAACTTCTAAACGTGTCAAAACCGCAGACTTTTTCCCTAGAAAATATATGGTAAGCGTGTAGCTGAAGTTACTTCTTTGTGTTTGTCGTTTTAATTTAAATTAAATGCAAAATTATATAAAAGCGAGGAAAATGCCCCCTATATGACAGTCCACTAACGACATGGGTCTTTTTTCTGCTCTGCTCCAGCTTGCTCTTCTTTCACGATCACGAACGAGATGTGTGCAGAAACAATTTAATTTTCATCAAGTTCAAACATGCAGCTGCATAAGCTTGAGCCAATCCACTGATCTAACTCATTCCTAAAATACAAGTCACCAGGCAGGCATTGGCAGGCCAGAACCTTACAAATTCACTTTCTGCCTTCAGTGTATTTGAACTGTATTGTTATATAGCACTGGAAACATGCAGTCAGCTGCAGCAGTAAAGCCCCCAAAAAACAGGAAACATGATCATCAGAAAGGAAGTGATAACCTAAATGAACTGCATGAACAATGCTGTGATTTAAATATCTGCAGGAGAATAGTTGTATAAACGTATTTTAGACGAGACCATTCTTTGGAGAAATCACAATAAATCAGGATTATTAAGATTAAAAATGTCTCTGTTCTTCCTACAGGTTGTGAGTTTCTTGGGTTCAGCCCCAGTGACACGGTCATGGTGGTCCTAGAGAACGATGGGACAATCGTAGAGGATCAGACCTACTTTCTGTGTTTACCCCCAAATACAAAGTTTATGCTCTTACACAACAAAGAGACATGGGCTCCATCTCGCAGGAGTAAGCAAGTTCATTTGTTCAAAGTCTGGACTGATTTCTGTCATTGCAACAATGAAATGCTCATCTTTGAGTTTGTGTACTCACTTACTTGTCACCATAGTGGATGGTGGCACAGCTTGGATGGCGAGGGATTCTGTAATTATGGATGCTGATACGGTTGATGCCTCCAGTACGGCAGCACCATGGTGGAATCTGGCACTGCAGCTGAAGCAGGACCTGACCAGCATCATTCTCATGTCTGAGGCTGATCTGCAGGTACCGACTTGATGTCTAGATTTCTATCATTGTAACAGTGAAGTGCACACCCTTGTGTTTTTGTACAGGAATAAATGTTTCTGTCTTACAGATGAGAAAATACAGCTGTTAGGAAAACATTATATTTTTTCAGTTCTGATCTTTTTTCATATTGTTTCATTAGAGAGCAACATGTGCTGATTTAAAAAAAAAAAGATATGATATTTCCAGTGTTTAGTGGACGCCCCGTGTGCTGAACTAGCCTCGGCTTTGGGCTTCCAAGAAACAAAGGCTGAGGAACTTCAGCAGACGTTGCAGAGGGTTTTGGACCGAAAAGAGGAGGAAAGGCAATCCAAAGAGCTGCTCCAGCTGTATCTCAAAGCTGTGGAGAAAGAGGACAAACCGCAGGAGGAACAAAGTCAGCCCAGCCAGCAAGGTATGGCCGTGTTGTTTTGAGGAGCTATTTTCAATTTTGTCAAAGATTGGTTAATTTTTTTAATTAATTCTTTAAATTGGTTCTACAGTTAGTAGTTTTTATTTTTTAATCCAATAGAAACTTTGTGGAATCATGCTATTTTAATGTTAACAAATAGTTTTTTTGTTTTTATTTTATTTTATCATATGGGATAAAGGCTCTACAGAAACTCTGCTGTAATATTCATCAACAATAGTGTCTTGGACTTGGATTACTATGCCGCTGATATGTTAAGAACAAATCTTCAAACATTTACTATGGCTGTTGTATTAATGGGATAAAAAATGTGATGCAATATGCAGCACATTACTGTAATTTTCTTCCATTTGTTTTCATTCATAGAGCAGGTAAAATATAAAGATTGGAGTAAAATACTGATCTTATTTTAAATTTAATACATTCATGCTCATATCCTTTATTTTTAAACAAAAGAACATACTCAACGTAAAATTTAATCTAATGTTTACGAAGGTTCTTTTTTATATACAGGTTTTTAATGGGAAAATCAATCAAAAATCATGCAAATAAAATGTACTAGTATTTATTCTTGGATATATTTCATTAGTCATGTCCGCCTTTTTGTTTGAACTGAACTTTTACCTTTTGATCACTAGATGGAACCCTTGCTGCTGCTTAATAATCCTCTCCCTTTCACTGGTTTAATAACAATCAGTCCTTTAATAAAACAAATGGTCCTGAGAGAAAGCATGTTTTTAATATGTCAGGTGTCAGAGACGTGGATTTACCGGACGGAATGGAGATGGACTCTGCCTCTGGATTTATGTCCAGGACACTGATGGTCCTGAAAGGCAAAACAAATCCTGAGACCAGGCTTTCCACAGAAGATCTGCAGGTATTTCACTCTTACCTCTGATTTGTTTTGTCTAAACTTTTACTCTTTTTTTTTTACTTGTTTCTAAAACCAAACTTTTTACAGCAGATTGAGGCGGAGCTGAAAAATTTAGAAACATTTCTTCTGCCCTGTTAACCGACATATCTTTCATAATTTTTTGTTTACATCATTCCCTCTGATGCCAGTCTTATCTTGTAGTACTAACTCTTTCCCCTCTCTAGATGATGTAACTGTAACCAGACAAGTGTAAATACGTCAGTTCACACTTGTGCCAATAATATGTTTCAACAAATCCATCTCAAAGGATCCTGCACCCTCACATTATATTTAAATTTATCCTGCAGTATTTCTTTTTGCAAAGACCAAATGTCAGAGGCTTTCATGAGTCCAGTTTTGCAAGCACGTATCATTAAACATGAAAGTAAATCTTTTCCAGAACCTACCTGTTACCAGTTGCCCAACCTGTGATTTAGCACGCTATTAATGCTTGATTTTTACTTGCAGTTTCCACGCAGCGTGATGCAAAACTGATGACTAATAGCCAGGAGTAAACGACCTGCTGCAGTTCAAACACATTATTATTCACCAGCAGGCCATACTTAATCCAAAACCACCTTGAACACATTTCTACGTACCCTGATAAACTGAGGACTGAGTGATCAGTCCTTAGGGTGAGTTCACCAGAGTTGTGCACATCGTATCAAACCACCAAAGGCACATATTAATGTCTTCCAAATCAACCAAGTCTGACATGTAAAAGTGAGAAAGCACGTATTTAACGCTTCAAATCCTTTTGAAGCCAATAAAACAGTTCAGATATATAACCCAAACAGCATTCATTCTAGAAAAAAGCAAATCAAACTTTTATCCTTCATTTTCATTAATAGGAGAAGTACAAATTTTAGATGCATCTTTTAATATATTTTCTTAATGGCCTCGAAAAGAATAAAAGATAATGGATGGATGTGTTTATTATCTGATAAGAGAGAATAAAGTGTAACATATCACCAGCAATTCAATTACAAATAACCTTTCTGTGTATGTAGATGGTAGTGACAAAAGGACTGGAAGCTATGCAGCAGGTGATGGGCTGGGACACGGCGAGGACGTCTGCACTGCTGCAGGCCTGTGAGGCTGAACTATCCACGCGCCTCCAGCAGATTCAGGCCATGCAGTCCATCAGCAGCTCACAGCTGGATGGCAGCAAAGAGTCTAATGCAACAAGCACCCAAGAGGCTGCTGAAACACCCACCCAAGGGAGCTCCTAGGTTGAGGCTTCACCTGAGCAGAGACTGATAAGAATTCACACTACCTGCCTCTGGGTCAGTAGAATGAGATTTGCTCTGTATTACAGCTGGAATATATCGCTGTTAAGAATGTTTATTTTATTTTCATTTAGGAAAAAGAAATCTTGCAAAGCACTTGATTGCTTCATGCCTCAGGAAGAAACAGGGAGAGTTGTGCACACTCTTTATCAAACTATGACATGAACCACTTGGATCTGTTTCCTGTCAGATGACTGTCATTTTGTAATAACTAACACATTTATGTGAAACTTGTCAAACCGGCAGCCACTGAGCTTAGCTTAGCATCAAGACAGGATATGGATTAATAGCTTTGCTTTGTTCAAATGTAACAAATCTTCCACCTGCTCTTGACCAAATTAAATCTAAAGTTTCTTCTCTTTATAGATTAGATGACATGGCAAGTAACTGTCCAAGAAAACATTTACAGACTTGTGTGTTAAGGCCTGATGATTAGGTCAGCCATTTGTTTTATACCTAATTAAAAATGTGTAATTAAAAAGCTAAATGCCTAATGTTCCCCTAGTTCAGTCTTATTTTGAATTCTAGTAAAGTCTTCAGCTTTATATTTAGCAGTCAGGCATGATAGTATCTTATCAAAATTGAGTCAGAAATTGCCAGTTGTTAGTGTTACATTAGCTTCTTGTTCTTTTAGTTTTGTTGTTTGGTGCTTCCAGTAAAGATCGACTTCGTGTGCTATTTCATTAGGTAGTCCATTACAACATAGGTAACAAACATACTTGAATGTAACTAAAGAAGCTTTTTGGTGTCAAACAGATCACATCAGTTGGTTTAAGAAATAATTTTCATGTGGTATTAAAATATAAAGTTCAGAAGAAAAAAAACAGACACTGATATATAAATCAGATGAGAGTCATTTCCCTCCTAATCTGCTCTTTCTTATTTATTCCCCGTTAAATTTGAACAACTTTAAGTTTATTCCATCAAAACTGCTTTATACATTTTTTTTTTCGCAGTGTCCATTGCATTTCATTTAAATCTTTTACAGATGCAAGTTAGCTGTTGTGCTAATAATGCCTCATTGATAAATCAAATGTACCACATTGTACCATTCTCAGCACAGTTTCTGTCCACACAGGTACATTACCACAGTACACATACAGCACTAACATAAACTGTATATTTGGGTTCAGTTACTGGCTAAGCTCTCTCTGAATCTATCATTTATATACCAATGTGAAAGTTATGCGTCACTCCAGCTGTGTGATGTCAGACTGCGTGGACAATATGTGCAGATCCATGTGACTCCTTCACAACAAAACTTGTCTAATTTCCTTTGTCTCTTGAACAAATGAACACAAATGATGCATTTAAATGTGATATTTTTGTGTAATTAGTCAGAATTATTTTTATACAAAAACAGTAAAGTCATTTTACACAGATTCAACAAGAGTAACTTGGTATCATATTTTTTAGATATAAAAAACATGTAAAACTTGCGCAGAGGAAAAGTGTGCATGATTATTAAACAATGTGAAATTAAAAGGTACTTCTTCCAAGTGTTGCTTGAACAAGGAGTCCTTTCACCAATAAAATTGTCTCGTCTCAACAGTTCTGAATTTTTCCTTTTTGTCTTTTCACACCAGTGAACAATGTTCATGCACAAGTGGAAGAATGAGTTCTGAGCCTTATGGGTAACCAGTAACATGCTGCTGCCAGGTATTCCAGCAGCTGGTTAGTGGGATTCATGGCTGGCGTAATTCCTGTGGTGTTGGCTCAATCTAGGTTGAAGAGTTCGAGGCGAGTGCGGTACGGCATCGACTCAGTTGAGTTTGCTCTTGTACGTCACTCTATCTATAAGAAGTAGATGATGACTCAGCAGGGCTCAGGTAAGAAGTCCAGGTTTGCTCTGTAAGCACCCAGGTGCTTCGTGGACTGGAAACAATGGTATCCCATCTGGTCATGTGACTCTTACTTGTCACCTTATAATTCTGTTCATCTGCAAGCGCCATGGGTGACACACAGGTCAATACATGTTCTGCCTTGCTTTGTTTTAATTGCTGTAAAACTTCCAAGATGTAGTAACAAGTTTGTACAAAATGTAAATAAATTCAGATGCGTCGACAAATTTAAGCGCTTCATTCCTTGAAGGAATGCAAATCACCTGCTACCTTGTATTAAAATGTTTTAAACGGATGTTTTGCCATCTGTCAATGCTTGAAGTACAGTATTTGTTGGGGGTAGAGTCTCAGCTACTAATACACATCAAATTTTAACTCAATATCTGCTACAGCTGTTTACGTGTTTGACTTCAAACATTAAACAGTTGTAGATATTTGGTTGTAGGTTACACAATCGCCTAACTTTCATGGCGGCAGTCTATAATGAAATGACAAACTGTGAGCAGAGGATGGCAACATTTTACTTCTGGGGGTTCATGTCCACTTAATTTCAAGTTTAAGAATCTTTATTATCTCCGAGGGATAATTTGTTTCACAATAAGCACACAAAACATCCATACTAGATAAGACATTGAGACATTTACGTAACAGTACAGAAATCATCAGTGTTCGTTGAGAAGCCTGATCACTACAGGGATGAATGAGTTTTTCTGTCTGTTCATTCTACATCTGGGCAGAAGATACCTGCGTCCAGATGGAAGCAACCTGAACTCACCATGGCGTGGTGATCAGGATCTGCCAGAATCAGCCTGGCCTAGTTCACTGACCTCGCCATGTGTAAGCTAGTGAGGCTCTGTAGGGCTATAGCAGTTCTGCTGCACATCCTGACAATCCCTGAGAGACTTGAAGAAACCAAAGGGCTAGAATAAAAACTTAAATAAGTTCAAATAGATCATTTTAAGTACACTTCTGGACTTATTTGCATTTTTATATAGACAAGCTGTAATACTGTATACCAACAGGACAAAGCTGTAACCATTTTACATCAATGTATTACCGTATACATGTATCTCAGCATCCATACATTCATTCAGTCAACCTTTATTAATACAGGTTAATCCCATTGAGCCTCAGGGACTCATTTACAAGAGAGACCTGAGTGATGACAACAGTGGACAACAAAGATAATAGACAATCATAAAGGATGCGTACAAATTGAGATTTTTTTTTTATTAACAAGTGAAAATAAAATGGTATTTAAAAGAAAATGTAACAAAAAAAACCAAACATTTAGGTTGTAAGGCGGTGTAGAAAACTAAAAACAAGAACATGTCTGCATTGGTTCTTGCCATGAACTTACCAGATGTTTAAAGCCACTTAGAAAGGTCAAGGTCAAGAGCTTCAGATCGCTTTGCAAGATATTCCAGGAAACAGGAGCGGAGTAGGAGAAGACCCTTTTGCCTAGTTCAATCCTCACTGAGGGAACACTGCAGGTAATAATGTCCTGAGAGCGCACGCTGTAACTGCACTCACGCAGAGACATGTAGGAGGAGATGTATGAAGGCAGCAGACCAAGAAGTGATTTAAAGATGAAAATGTACCAGTGAGAGAGTGCGTGAAGTTAATGATGTTCAGTTAACCAGTGAATACAGGGTGCAATGATGGGTACGAGAATCACAGCCAGTTATGAATCCTGGTGCACCATGATAGACAGCATCCAACATCTGCAGGGTGCTTGTTCATGTAGATAATGTCACCGTAATCAATGGAGGGAAGGAAAGTCAGTTACAAGGCGTTTCCTAGCATTCAGAGTTAGACAGGATCTGTTTCTGAAAAAGAAACCCAGTTTAACTTTCAGTTTCTTTACTAGGTTTTCCACATGAAGCTTAAAAGAGAGATGCAAATCAACTAAGATACCCAGACATTTGTAGGAATCAACTTTTTACAGGTCCCATCTCCACACATTTCTGTACAGGATCAAGCTGTGTTTCGTTTCACAGTCAACATCATTATATATCATAACCATAACACGTTTATCTTTGTAGCAGTTAATTATGATAAACACTTGTTAAAAACATTAAGTGCTAACACGCTGTGACATTAATTACCTGCCCTGTGCGTGCATGTAATAGCTCAGTCGTGATGCATAAAACCAATGGATGGATACAGCTAATGTAATGTGTATTAATTTGCACGTTTTGTTTATCTTTCCTCTTAAAGCAAAGTGAGAAACTTTTCGAACTCCTGCAATCGTGTGTAAAATACGTCTGTCTGGCACAGAATCAAAAGTAAAGAAGTATTGACGCAGATACTGCTTGCATGAAGTGCAGAGAAAGCACAACCAAGACTGCTTGTGATTTTAAGCAAACACTATCATTTGTTGTTTGATTTTATTAGCTTAATACATTTAACTAGAGCTGCATTTTTATATTTTATTTTGCTACAGAGCACTTCAAAAGCTGCCTGAGGCATGTAAAAGTGGACGAAGGTGGAGAGACTTGTAGCAGGTGGCGGCTTTTCATTCTCACAAAGTGTACATGTTAATAAAGGCTGTGAAAATATGATTTTGCAAAGGTCCAAACTGACCTGGAACTCCCAAATTTCATCGTTTACAAGTCCAAGATGTTGAAGCCACACATTTTTTTAATGACTTTGAAATGTATGAATAAAACATGGGTTTGTGTATTTATTTTCTAAATTGATTTTGTTTTCTATTTAAGGGCATGAGGGACTGGATGGAGAATATTCTGTGTATGCATTAAGATGTTTTTTTTATGGAATATGCAGGTGAAATATTAGTGAGGGATCAAAAAGTGTGAAGTGGGGGACAGTTTGTTCAGACTGAAGAACCTTGTTTTGATCAAAGAACTGAGCAGCATAATTCATTAAGTTTTAATAGTCAATTATTGCTTCTTTGATCACATCAACTTTTAAAATATTTTATAGAATTGACTTTTTGGATTTGAATTGATTATGAGTTAAATAATCTCTTCATCTAAAACAAAACTGTTTGACTTCTGTATTTTGAAGAATGATTGTATGCGACGTTTTGCACTTCACTTCCATTTTATATCCACAATTAAAAAGTTAGCATTACTTTGACCATTTGCACAGTTAAAATAATTTTATTTGTACAAAGGAAAATAAAGCAAAATACAAAAACAGTTGCAATAATTAATTTAAACTACATCACACAAAAAAATAATAATCTTACTTGAACAAAAGATTGAAATAATTTCAGCAGCATTCTAGTTGTCAGTCTTGAATTAAAGTGAGGGACTCATCTTTGGTGTTTGAGTACTTGATCTTCCATCCTTTGTTTTTTCCACTGGAGTCAGATCTGAACGCAACATCCACTTGGTAACTTCCTGTGTCAATGCGCCCTGGTGGCGTGGAGCCGCAGAACGGTCCATATTCTTGTCCGGCAGTTGAAATCTTACAAAGAAAGACACAAACACACTAAAAGTTGATTTATTACCTGCTCAACTGACTGACAAGAACCTATGCAAGAAACCGCATGATGATATAGTAAATCACCCGGGAGGTGGAAGCCAGAGACAGACCATCTCTGCAGGCATGGGGACGAATATATTACTTATTCAACATCCTGTGTGAGACACACAGAACTGACCTTCAACATATCATATGGACAGGGGGCATCTGGGTGTCCCTCTATGTCAAAGGGTTCCAGGAAGTCCAGGATAATCCTGGAGCCCTCTGACAGACTGATGGTGTGGTCACACTGGCTCATGGGTGGGTACGGGTTCGGGTAGCCTGGACTGGTCAGAACTCCAGATGCCGACGTTAACACCTGATTTTGGCACGGCACTGCAAAGAAGAAGTAAGCTTCTAAATAAAGCCATACACGAACTGCGTTCCTTTTGGGGCCAATATTTGTTTAAACTTTAGACGACGCAATCCTAAGATTTGCAGGAATTGCAGAAATTGGGTTATATTTTTTAATCAAAAGAACAAACTTTCCCCAACATCATAAAAGACTGGATTCATTTATATTTGCATTATTGCTCTAGATGGCAAGTGTGCAGATGTTACGAGCAAAAACAGATGAGCATTGCAAAGAGGCAGAGTTGCTGTAATTTATATAATTAGTACAATCTGTGGGCAGATAATCATTTTTGTCTATTCATTGCATGATTTGTTGTGCCATCCTTTTTCCTCAGGCAAAGTATAATAATTTAAGGTGCATCAGCTGGTAATTGTGATTAATTACCTTGTGTTGGTGTGTTATTAGCGCTGCACACAGGTATTAATTTTTACAGCCATTCTGAGGTTGTTTTCCCCTCAGGAATCGACAGTGATTAACCTTGCCAAACACCAGCTGGAAGAGCTCAACAACTTCAAGGCTAGTAAGAACTAATATTATCAACAGCATGACCCATGTGAAATGTCAGAAAATTGCTTTTGAGGACTTGTTCTGCAGTGCTAGAAAGTTATTAGAGCTTCTAGAAATAACTTTTCATGAAATATACGTGTATAACTTTCTCACGAAATCGGAAATGAACAACTGTTTGCATTTTACTTGTCTAAATAAATATTTTAAAACACCATAGGAGCAAACTGTCATTATATCGTTATGGCCGTTGTTTTAAGAGTCAATACATTTCAATTTATTTTGGCAAAATGTACCAAACAGGCAGTTGAACAATACTAAAACTTACTAGTATTTCAATCAACCTTTATTTATACAGGTAAATCCCATTGAGCCTCGAGGACTCATTTACAAGAGAGACCTGATTTCAACAAAGAAAAATGACAACAATGGACAACAGCAACAACAATAAACAGTTATAAAAAAGCATAATACAGTTTTTTTTTTTTTTTTTAACAAATGGGATGGCTAAAAGGAAAAGGTAACAAAACAAAAAACAGCTAGATTCCAAGACAAATGTAGAAAACTAAAAACAGGAACATGTCAGCATTGGACCCTGCCAGGTGTCCAACAGATTCTTAAAGACACTTAGAGAGGTCAAGGTCGAGAGCTTCAAATCTTTTTGTAAGAAATTCCAGGAAACAGGAGCGGAATAGGAGAAGGCCCTTTTGCCTAGTTCAGTCCTCATTGAGGGAACACTGCAGGTAATAATGTCCTGAGAGTGCACTCCGTAGCTGCACTCACGCAGAGACATGTAGGTATGTAGACATGTAGACATGTATTAATCACATGTATTTGCCTTTGAGATGCCCAGCAGGACATTTAGCCTTAGAAACGCACAGATCATTACAGTCAGATGCTGCTAACTAAGCTCCAAACGCCACACTTGGTCGTGCAGCTTTCAGACTTCCTTTGATTGCTCACAGAGGAACATGCCTCTTGAGCTTCAGCTTGTTTATGCTCTTACCTGTGCAGGATTTTTTGTTGTCATGGAGAAAGTATCCTTGCTTGCATGTGCAATAATAGCCCCCGATGTAGTTGTGGCAAAAATGGTCACACACTCCCTCTCCATCCACTTTTGACAGACACTCATTGATGTCTGTGAAAGACGGACACAAAACACTGTTGAATGTATACATTTGTCCATCCACAATAATTGAAATATAGAATATTGTGTTGTCTTTGGCGATTGGTTTATCTGTCTTGTTACATGAACTGTGAATATCCTGAAAAGCTTAAATTATTGTTTTGTTTTGTTTGTTTTCCAAATGAAACATATTGTAAATTCTAATATTTGACTAGATTCCAGCTCCTAAAATAAAATAAAAAAATTGGATGGACCTTAAACATCACCTCAGTTTATACCAGCAGCTGAACAAATGATTGTAACACTTGGTTAAAGCAAGACTCCAGATCAGAAAAGAAATATATTAACTGTGTAAAAACAATAACTGGAGAAAACATCAAAGCTCATGCTCAAAAATCCAGGTGAAATATCCAACAAAGTTAAGTCAGGTCCTCTGGACGGTTTCTTTTTGTTGAAACGTTTTCGTCCAAAGGACCTGACTTAACTTGTTGGATTTTTTTACCTGGATTATTGAGCATGAACTTTGATGTTTTGAACCACTTTGGCCATGGCTGCCTCAGAGGAGTCAACGGAGGAGAGGGCGGACTCCAGAAACCATCTTATCACCATCAAACTGGTTGGTCCACTAGAGTGTGCTGCTTATGAGACTGAGTTTGTTGTGGCTCCTCGGACTGATGAAGTCTTGTGGATGAAAGACGAAACATTTCAGTAAAAAGAAACTGTCCAGAAGACCTGATTTAACTTCATTGGAATAACTGAAGAACCTTTTTTTTCAGTTTAATCATCAGCATTTCCATCTATCAGCTGGTGCCTAGAGGTGGGGTACCCCTTAGAGCGGTCACTAATCCATCACAGCGCCACAAAGACACACACACATTCACCTATAGAACCACTTTAGATTTGCCAGGTAATCTAACATGCTTGTTTTTGGACTGTAGTAAAAATTGCCAGACAGCATGCAAGTGCAAGTTACGTATTCATGCATGTGATGCTCTAACACACCTGATTCATAGTTGAATTGCCTTGCAGAAGCCTATTAATCACCAGCTGATTCAAATCAGGGAGCAGAGAAACATGTAAAACATGCAGAATGGTTGGCCCTCAAGAACTAGAATTGGACACCCCTGGTTTAAAGTTAAAAACCCTATGGGTTCTTTGAGATCATTGCAATGCACACAATGCTCTCTATCTCTGTAATGAACGGTTACAATTTCATTAAAAAAAAAAAGATCCTCACAAAATACACAAACGAATCAGTCACAATGGCCCTTAAGAAGGGAAAGTCAACCTCCACCCTGCCCACATGAGATCCTATATGATCTGACAAGTCTGATAACAAAAGCTATTTTTATTTACATACATTTCAGTACAGTAGTCCCTCGCTACTTCACGGTTCGACTTTCACAGTTTTTCAGCGTAAGACTGGACATGACACACAATTGGCTGATTGATGGATGAGCCACACCATCGGCATGGATTTTTATTTTTGTATATATATAATTTATTTGAAATTATTTAGCGCCTGCTACCTGTGTGCAGCTCACAGGTGCAGGGAGAAGCTCTCTCCTGCAGCATGTCATGATTTCCGCTCTGCAGCGAAGAAGTGGGCGTGGCCGAGAGCACTGGCAGGTGGCAGATAGTGCGGAGATCATGACATGCTGTGCTTTTTTATAGCGTTTAGAGTTTAGAAACATTGTTTAGAATATTGCAAGAGTGTGGGAAGGGTTTAAAACAAACTACTACTTAGTACTTGTAGTACTATTCCTACTTCGCGGTTTTTCACTTATCGCAGTGGAGCTGAGAATGTAACCACCCGTGATAAACAAGGGACTACTGTATTCTCTATTTTCTGTTCATAAACTCCATAGGGAGTCCATAAAGAATACTAGGCTTTAATTACTAAAACTTTTTAAAGAACCTTCAATCTTTTGCTAACAAGACTGAAACTCTAATCCTTTAAAACACTCGTGTACTTGTGATGGAATAATCCTATTATTATTGTGTTTTTGTCACCTTCAGTTTAATTATAGCTGCCAAAAATAATGTATGCCTTCTGGCAAAGAATGTTCCTATTCTGCGTCACCTTCTGAAGTGTAAAAAGCTTGGAAGCCGGTGAATCGGCCCTCGTTAGAATAGTCGCTCCTAAAGACCACTGACATGAAGTTCCTGGCTGACATGATGATGGTGCTTCTGGGGGTGCTTTCAGACTTCTTTTCTTCCTCGCCACAGAAGCGCAAAGTTTCGTTTCCTTCTGCCAGAACCTGGTTTGACAAGTTCTTTTAGTGAGCGCAACGTCCCGTGCAGACAGATACTGTTTTCGCTGTGTACCTGGAGGTAGTCATATTCACACTTGTCGGAGAGCTCCATGCTGAAGTGAGTGAAGTAGAGTTTGATCCGGTGACCATGTGCAACGGTTATGTTCCACACGATGTGCTGGTTGTCAGGGTACGCCTGGGGAAATTCAGGGGAGGTGAAGTTCCCGTATAACCCTGTCATCTCCACACTCAGTGACACACCAAAGAGGGAAAATAGGACAAACACCCAGAATGCACTGGGGGGAAATTAGTTGCTATCAATGCAGTTTTGAGGATTATTTAGCACTATTAAACAACAGGCACTCACCTGGTCATGATTTCTTCAGATTTTAGACTGCTTGGTTTGAAACTGTTCCCTCGGACTAATAGGAGGTAAACGACCTCAACTGTCTCAGCAGGCTGACATTTAGGTAAACAAAGGGAGACAGGCACATGATCAGTGTGTCATCAACCCCCACCTTCTTCAGTCACAGAAATCAATCAAACTGATGGATGTCTGAGCAGTTTATGCTCACTTTTAAAGCTCGTTCGTTCCTTTTCCTTTATATATTGGCTTCCTCATTTCAGTATTTAAAGTGGAAGTTAAAGACATTTTAATTATTCAAAGAGAAATCAGGTACTCGTACTATGATTAAATCATAAAGCGCACATTTTTGTTACAAGTGTTAGTTCAATATATCAGTTTTTGAAAGCTGTCAGCGTTACAACTTATATATATTAATAAATTGCAAACCATCCATCATCTTTAGCAGACTCTGGTGCATTGTGGATCTTGTTTAGACAGTGATGTTGATGAGACTAGACGCAGGCCAATAACTAATTATGTTACACCGTGCTCCTGTTATCGCAGAGCTGTGAGGCTGCTAAATAAGAGCTCAGAAAAATAAATATACTGCAGTCACAACAGTTTCCATCCAAGACATTTTATGTGCTTCTAAATACTATAAAGAATAAAAACAGTTGCCCATCAACAGCAGTAAATTAAATCAGATGGCAACGTTTTTATTTTTTGTTCTTTTCTTTATAAATCTTCATTTTCACTTTGTTAAAGGCTTTAGGAATCAGACTTTAGAGTTAAAGCTATTATAAACAAAATAACAGTGTTTGTGCCCTCGGCTTTATTGAAACACCGATATTGATGTTAGTCAGAAGCAACCAGAGCCTTTCAGCCAGCAACAGTTGTATGATAAGTAGTTTATAATAACCAAACCCCCGTTTTTTTCCTGCAGCACTAATGGCTGGTATTTGACGTGAATTACAATAATTATCCGCATGAATATGAATGTTAATTTCCATTATCAAAGGACCTTTTTGATGGTACTCCTTCTCAGCCATAACCTTTGATTTGCCCTCATTGTGAGCTGGTGGGATGTTGAGACAGTGTTGTCCAGACATACAGCAGATGTTCTGTGTGGACGTCATTTAGAGTTTTCAGCCTTTTATGGCCCAGTATGATGCATCAATAGAAATGACACCCTCAAACTCAAACTTTGCTGTTAAAAGATAATTATTGAGGCATTAATGTTCTATGCATCATCTAGACCCAGACTAGATAACATTTAGCACTTGGGTAAAATAAATACCTGTTCTTATTCTGTTTATGGTTTTGAGTTTGCCTTTGCTCATTTTATGACCGCATTGTAAATGTCATTGCGGTGTTTGGAACTGAAATGTCACAGATGTGGTAAATAGAAGTTGCAAAGTAGTCAATCTTTCATAATGAGCTGCTTGTTTGTTGTATTGACTGGCTTTTTGACTGGTTCGGGCCTATCGTCTGCAACTTGCATCCATCCGTCCATTCGTCCATCTTCACCCGAACAATAAAATGTGGTATCATCTGCAAGTAAAACACACTTCAAAAGCCCTGACACATCAACCAGATCATTCACATACAAATTAAACAACTGTGGTCCCAACACAGAGCCTTGAGGGACTCCAAATCCATTAACACAAAATTCAGATCCTTACATCGTTTACTTGTACAAACTGTCTCCTATTATTCAAATAACTGGATACCCACTGTAGTGCTAATACTCTAATGCCATATTTATTCCGTTTTTCAAATATGCAGATAATATTAAATAATTTTAACATTTATTTGGATCTGAAAAGTCTTTTATTGAAACATAATACACATGGGTGTAATGTACTGCGATCTAAAAAGCTATTTGTTCAATAGTGCATTTTTGTTATAGCAGCAAGTTATACCAGAAATCATCCTGGAGACTTTACCTGACTGGGTCATAATCTTATTTTATGATTGTGGATATATTTTCCTCAAGAATTCAGGGCTTCACTTGGGTGGGAGAGGGCACAGTGAAAAAAAAAAAAGAGTGTTTATTAAAAATGAAAAGGTAAAACTGATACCTGCAGCCAGTGTTACAGATTAATGATACTTGTGTGATGATGTGAAACAGTGGGGAAAAGCCGGATGTTGAGTGCAGCCTGGACCGACAGCAGCATCACTAAGTGATGGTTTAAGGTCACATGTGCAAGAAACATGAGCGTCATCAAAAAGTATCAGCTTAGAGAAGGTGTCTGCCTCCCAAATCCAGACCTGGAGCTGCTTTTACTGGAGATGAACCTGGGATCCAAAGAAACTCTGAGAAGCACAAATTGATTCTGGACCTTAGGAGCTCTGGTGAAGTAGTGCAACTCCTGAAGGCTTGAAGACCCAGCGTAGCTTGATCACTGATGAATGCAAATATAGTATGAGAAAAAAAAAAGTCAAATTGTATTTAGCATCTTTTGATAGTTCCTGTTAGAATACTTGTTGTTTTGCATCAACTGAAAGTTTTTTAAAGAGGTATTAAATTATTGTGCTTATTAGGAATCACAATTATTCTTTTTTTTTTCCCCTGTGGAAAAAGAAAATGCACATGCTAGTGTTTATTTTTGTTTTCTGTTCATTTGTTTGCACATCTTTGAATCACTGAAACAAAGTTGGTTTTAATTTGAAGTGTTACATGTAACACAGAGCAAAATGAGTACCAATATGAAGTGCACTGATTATTTTCACTTCTTTACCCAATGATGATGTCACATCAACATACAGTATGTCTGTGACTTAAATTAAACAACTTAATTCCTCAAAGCAAAACCCTTAAAGTTTTAGGATGCAAAATAAAATGATGGCAAATAGTTCGATTCTTGCATTTTGATTGTAAAAAAAAAAAAAAAAGAGCTTTTTCCTTTTTTTAAAGGTGGAGGGGTTGCTTAAGTAGCATTCATGACACATCAATATAACCTCCACAGAAAAATGTGAACGGGTTAATGATGGTGTTAGTTTTTTTTTTCTCTGTTTGCTCAGGATTAAGGACTAAAACCGTTCCTCTGGGGTTACGTGTCCATGAGTTATGAGTTAGGATTAGATCTCGTATTGCACATGTGCGTCATGAAAAATGTCCAATTGACAAAGACAGACTGAATTCAGCATCATGCTCGTGCATTCATCTTGGATGATTTACCAAAAAAACACACAAATGAGCGTGTGCTGAATATACCAAGAGACGTGAAGCTCAGGCTGTTTTGATTTCGGCATGATCAAATCTTAAACGTCCCTGTGCACACAGAGACTCTGCTCCCAGTCCTGCCCCGCCTGCTTGTTGGGCCTGCAGTAATGAAGTGCTTCCTTATAGGAAGCCAGTCATTAAATAAGGAATAGTCTAGTGAGAGCAGTTGAAACTGACGAGTACAGACTGTTAGCATCTGAGAGTCAACAAAAGGTGGAGATTGTGACGTGAGAACAAATTTTATATCAGAAGCATGAAAAAGGAAACTTTCTGTTCCTTTTTCTATCTGATTATGGATCATTTGCATCTCTCTACTGGTCCCTCTGTGACCTTTAGGCTGTTACCACAGTTTTCTTGTAATATACTAGTTCTCAGGGCATCTCTTAATAATTTATATCACTCTTTGCTAGTAAATTTACCCTCACTTTCACATCTCTCTGTCATCTTTTATCTTTTTCCTTTCCCAAGCTTTGCAGTTGTAATCACCCAGCAGCTGTAAATTGTAATTAAGGACTTGAATAAGTTGAAAAGTGTCAGCTTATATGAAAGACAGTAAGCAATACACATCTAGTCCAGTGTTATTTCCTCATCCAATGGTGTCCAAGCCTTCATGGTAATCCAAGCTGCCCCAGAAAAAGTCTTGCAGCAAGACAGAACAAACTAAATATCTTCCACTGTTAAATAGATGATTTACCAGAGTTTAATTCCACAAAAAAATAACAATTACTTATGTCAAATCATGCTTTCAAAAACATTTGTGTCATTGATTCTCGCTGCTAGAGTTTTGTTCTATTTTTACAACCCAAACAATTACCTTAGCTCGAGCCCTGCAGCCAAATGTTCTGCAGCTGAGGAAATAGACTTGAATTGAATGTCATCCATATGCATTTACATTTTCCTTTGTTCTGTCTAAAGCAGCAAGTTCACTTAAATGTTGCCATTATCAGTGCTATTGTTTCTGCTTATTGAGTGTGAGCACAATAAAGTACAGTCAATAAGATCAAGTGAAAGTGCACATGGAAATGCCTCACAGCAATTTCTCATAAAAGGATATAACTTTTAATGGAGGTTTTCTCCACCAAGAACTTTCTTTTGAAATATTTTGAAATGGCCTGTAATAACAGTAATAAAAAATAATGTTATATAAAAGATTTGACAATAATTTACTTGATTGCTTTATCCTTTTTTTAAAATATGCCCCCCACACTTTTTTTTTTTTTTAAATAATCCTTCTTCTACTTGCATCAGACCCCCAAAATCCAACCCCACCCAGAGAAGTGCCCCTCTTGGCCTGACACTTTTATTGTCTTGAACCTCAAACGTTCACTTGGCGTACATTTTTAATTTTACCTAGTTTTTTAGAATTAGTAGAACATCAAAAACAGAAAAAAGAAACAATGTTTTTGAGCATTTAAAAGTAAAAAAAAAACAAAAAACATATAGTTTTATTTAAACTTCAAAATAAAACTTGAAATCTAAGTACCCTGAAAAAGTTAAACAATTCTAAAAACAATGTCCTCAACATCAGGTTGCACAGTCCCAGGCGGTTGTCTGTATAATGTTTTTTTATAAATATAAATTTAGGAGAAGATGAGCTATATGTAATATCAACTGTAAATAAAAAGCTTAAAGGAGACCCACGTATATCAGAAGATGATTCCTTAATTCCTGTGTTGCTGTCTTTGGGCAGCATGGTGGCTTAGTGGTTAGCACCGTTACCTCACATTAAAGTATTAAAGAATTGATAAAGTAAATAAAAAAAATGAAAACTAATGTATTGAAATAAAATATGTTTGTTAAATT